CTTTAACTCGTCTTAACTGGAGCACCGGACTTCATGTACTCGTCATTGTAGACATTCATGACTATTTTCGGTCATGAATTGCCTAGTGTCGCCATCTACTGCTTAGAACCATCGTTGTTTGCGGCGCGACGTCGCACGCGACGCCCACAAGTGCGGCGAATTACGATTCTCTTGTCACATTCCGGTCGATAGAAAGTAAACTCTTTCCTCTGGACGTTTTTGATGGATGAAAATATAAGCATACACCGCCTAATAACATACCTGCATGTTTCTTAGCAACTTGTTACCCCGAAGGAGTCAGTCGTCAAAAGCAGATCTTGGAGTGGGTTTTGTTCGACAGTGGAATCCGAGATTACCCCTACACCCTCGTAACACACTTGATGCTGTAAGCGCGATTGAATTCGTCCACAAAATTCAAGTCAAAACAGAGTGGTAACTCAACTGTTATTGGTACTATTTCAGCCACCCCTATCCCAAGCATTCCCAGGATACTGTATCTTCTGCCCACGTGAAAAGTTCGGTGTCGTCAGTAAGACCCAATATAGTCGCTCGTGAAGCAGCAACTAGCAACTTGCTCAGCACTGGTGAAATCTGCTAAAGCTCACAGTGGTTCGTGAGCAGTCAAGTATTGCCGCCATGAGAAATTTTACACTCCAAATCCCTGAGGTGAGGTAGGCGTGGCTGCGTTCTTCAACCAAGCGTGGCGGTGGTTGTGCTTCTGGAGAGATGTTTCCATTTTGACACAATTGTGGTCGTGTCTCCATCGAACACAGACAAGATGACAGTTGTCTTGAACTCAAATATCCCACGAGTAACTCATTCTGTGCCATGTTCAAATGCCACGCCTACTCCATCTCAGGGATAAGGAGTATACGTGACCTTCTTGTCTAGCATAATTTGAATGGCAAACTATCAATGAATGCATCCAGTGAATTCTTCTCGGCGGGCAGACGCCACCCAATTGTGTAGTTAATGAAATGCACGAAAGGCGATTGCAAGCAACTGATCTTTTCAACTATTTTTCCTTATGCCTACAGAAAACTGTTTTTCCGGCGGATGCTCCATCCTAATGCGAAAGATGTAAGTGGTAGCTCAAAGCGCTTGTCCAACTGTGAAATGGGAAACATTAATAGAATAGTTTTCCAGCTGTTTCCCCTCATATATCAAGCGTTCTGCAACACGGCCGATAACCCTCGCTTATCAATCAGTCCAATGGCGGTCAACTAGAAAACTAGAACACAACAGCAGAGTGGCCCCTGGGTCATCACCATTTTTGATTTTGTATTTGATTATGTGGCCACCTCGAGACCCCTTGTAGCCTTCAAATTTCAGAATGCGTATTCTCCTTGTGCTGGTCATCTTTCTAGCAGTCGCCTCCGCTTTTCACCATGCAGCGCGCGGCATCGTACGGCAATCGTCGTGTCCTGAAGTTCGTCACATAAGTTACGACATTGAATTAGCGGCTGCCGTCGTTATTTGGGCAGGGATGGGTACGTTCTCTTCGGTCATTATTCAGAGTCACACCTAAAATGTATTGAGGAATTAATGAATTTTACCAATTAGCTGATTTTTTTTTCTTTCTTACTGGATATAAACTAGTTTTGGCCAACCCATTTTTAGTATTTCTCTGGTAAATTTTTTTTTGACATTTAATGTGTCCTCAGTTCCTTCTCATTCAGGCGATAGCTGCTGCAACCCGATGTCAATGGGAAGAATTAAACGCCTCATAGAAGAAAATGTTGATGGAGTGTACGTGAAGATGCGCTATTATGTTCGGTTTACAAAACAGTGATTGAGGTGAGCTCTGTTGAGGGCATATGCTAGGTTGGATTCATACTAATTTCTGGAGTAAATATCTCTCCACTGCGACTCGAAACTCCTTCATAGTCCGTAGAGGCTTTGGAGGGTCAGGGTGCAGACATGTACTACCGATTATCTGTCTAGAGAGTCTGATAATATTGCCGGCGTCCTATTTCGATTCTAGGGTTGGATGATGCAGCTCTGCTCCCTTCCCATTAGCTGAATTCACGGTCCCTCCTTCTTCGTGCTACGGTAACTTTCATAAGTAGTTGGATTTTTATGGACACATTGAATTACAGTTGGGTCCTCATAAGCAATTGTTTCAGATAACTGTTGTGTCTGGGTGATAAGGAAGTCTCGCCACTGTTTTAACTTCTAGAACTTCTATTCTCTATTCTGTTATTAAGTATACAGTGGTAATCAAGCAACTTTTAATTACCATTGTGAGCGGCAACAATGTCCACCTTGTGGGCAGGTCAACCACCCTTTTGTGTGAGTGAAGCTTCAGGGGGAGGGGATTTAGGGGCTGGGAATTGAAGAAGTCGACTGTTCGCGTCTTATGACATCAAGCATGCAGAAATCGAAGGTTTAGTTTCCTTTTAGAACTCCCTAACAATTTGTGTTGCGCTGTCTTAAGGAAGGTGGACTGGAATGGACTCGGAGTGAAGCTTAGTGGCCTAAGTCCAGAGCTGAGTGGCGTAAATGGTAGCGGTCACGGTAACGTATGTCTATGAGCGAGCAGCTCCAGCATCCCAGAGCAGTAAAAGTACACTCTGGAGTACATATCCGCCTTACCTTGCTCAGACGGGCTTCTCCTTGAGGGCCCTGCACTGGAATTGCTGAGTCCCTGTAGCTTATATCAGGTTGAAAAAAGTCCCCCCCCCACTCTGAGCAAATTGCTCCAGAAAAAATCAAAAAACATTTCGAGTATTTTCAATGGAGGGCGTTCTCTGACGTTTTCGCAGACGGGTATACTATGGCTTCATGGAAGTTTTCAAAGCCCAAATGTCTCCCAAAGGTCAAGAAACTTCTCGACATATCCTATATTATGAATTCCTGTAGTCCGGAATCCTGTTTGACAGCGTAGATAATGGTGCCTGATGCGGTGTTAATGTTGCGAATGCTGCCTTCATCGTTCCATCGCCGCGGGGCTATTCTTGGAAGATAGGACAGCTGGAAGATTCATCACTGAGTCGTTTTTTTTACTACGAGTTTAAAGACACTTCCCGCGATCAAGGGATCACCAAAATGCCTCCGTGCGTTTGGCATCGTTGTCCGCACTTGCAGAGAATGTACCGCTTCCGTCACTCGAAACACGAGAAATAGCGAAGGGCGCCCCGCCCCTAGGAAGACTCGTGAGTTTTGCAACCGGTGCAAGCCGCGTACTGTAACACTGCAAGAGAACGGCTTACAAGCAGGATTGCGTGTGAGTAAAGCGTTGCCTGAAGCGTCGTAGGGCGATTTCCTATGCTCTTGCTGCCGGGGGGGGGGGGAAGGTGTAAGTGTCCAGGGTGTTCTCGACTTTCTTCATTCCTTTGTCTACTGGTGTGTTTTCGATCGGCTACTGGTTCATGACTGAGCTCCTGCCTAAATGTTAACATATTGATCGCGGAAATTGTCTTCAAATAAGGTACGGTTGCCGGGTTGAATAAGTAAGAGTTTCCGATCAAGAATCAAAAGTTCTTGGTTTCTTAAAAAACCTTTGACAGAACTTCCTCAGTATCCCAGTGCAAGCGACTGACAGAACGCTTGCAGGATACTGAAAAAGGGTTCTTCGCGAATATGAACGATCTGGTGGCGAATGCTTGCAAACAACTTCAAAACGACACATTGTTACAGTTCGGGTACAATGCTATTGGTTTCTCGCAAGGAGCGCAATTCTTGTAAGTTGAAGTTCCCTTTACCTCGAAGAGCTGGCACATCAAACGTCTGAGCTTATTCCTATCCCATACTGTCGATCTGTCCAATAGATATCGCCTGTTTCAATCATTTTTCACTGTTAGTGCAAGTGTGCAGGAACCATGGAATCCGTTAAAAGAACCCACGAGAAAGACAGACGCCGATCTAAGAATCCGCGAGAAAGACTGCCGATTCAGAAAAAAAAAGATATTAATTCTCGGTTTTGATCGAGCAATTGAAGGCTTTCGGTGCCTTGGGGGTATGGCGGAATTTTGCGAGTTCCCGCACACGTGGTGAGTTGTGAACCCTTGTAAAAGTACTACTGTGTCTGGAGTAAGGCTAATACCATTTCATGAGGTTAGAAATATGCGTAGACCCAATCAAAGCGGCTTGACGAAAACTATTCCATTCCGCAGTTTTGAAAGAGTTCGCTGACTCACCAAGATGAGGAAACTGAAGATTCTAGCAGCCTAGCAAAACATCCCACTCACTTCCCCGATCAGGGCCCGTCTGGTACCCATATTTCTTATCTTTTCCGCATCGTCATAAGTTATGGTTATGGGGCAACTGTCCAGGTATGAAAAGGTATCGCTTACCCGATCGAGACCACAGCTTCTCTTTATTTCTAACTTTAACCCTACGACAGCTCAGTTTTGGATTGTAAGTCTACCATAGCCCATAGGCTCACTTGTATATTCATTTGTTACTTCTATTATATCTATCTCACATGAGTTAAAACTTCGTAGACAGCAAGAAATAGTTCTCAATAAGTAACAAAATTCCAGACGAGCTGTGGCGCAAAGATGTCCCAATCCACCGATGAAGAACTTCATATCAGGTAGGTTTTTTATCTTATGTTTATCTATGTGAACGGTTCCTCTCTGATTAGCGAACTACACACCATATCCTGAAGACGGAGGGGTCACGACTTCATTGGAACATGGTGTACTATGAGTTTTCCACAGCGTATTTCCATTTGGGACAATTGCCACTACGACGTGTTCTGGGCAAAGGCATGAGTACAGTTGTAACGGCAATATTCCACTAGCAGCCGACACGTTCAAATGAAGTACGCAGCCACGCCTACTCTATCTCCGGGTGGACTGTATATTCATACCCGCAAACAAGAGGCGGGTAAAGAGGAGTGGACTGGAGCTCAGCTAGGATAGCTCTTTTCCTTTAGTTGGTGGAAAAGGCAGCCCTGATGTCATCCTGACCTCGGAACAAATGGTGGAGAAAGCTGTCTTATCTGCGTTCTGACCACGCCCCCCCCGCACCACCTTACCTTCTAGGGGTATTACTGTACATGTAATGCTGCTGTAGTTATAATCATACGAGTTGCTACGAGTTCCTTTGCTATCGTACCATAAATAAGAACGCACTTATATGGTTAGTAATCAACCGAATGCATTATACTGTAATCTTTCTAGTCGGTGGACAACATCAGGGAGTATTTGGTCTTCCTTATTGCCCTGGAGACACAACACTTTGCAATATGATTCGGAGGCTACTCGACTTCGGCGCTTATAATTATTATGTTCAACATCAGTAAGTGCTTAAAGGTTAATGCTAGTGTACATGGGTCATTCTTAATACGGAGGGCTGCCTTTTATATTTCGGGATTCGGCAACCCCAGTGTTGCAATCTGGCAGCTGACAGCTCTATCGTAAAGTTTGACCTTTTTGAGGTTATACGTACTCAGAACATTTTGACATTTGAGCGCTCTTTGTGTTGTTTACACTAGCTTAAACTATTTTGGTCGGCCGTTGGTGAGGACAACATGTTTGGTTTTCAACGCGAACAAATTTTTTGACAGTCAAATGTTCATGCAATATTGAATGTATGCTGGTCCCCTTGAAGCTTAAGGTTGTCTCGGACCAGCATACATTCAATATTGCATGAACATTTGACTGTCAAAAAAATTTGTTCGCGTTGAAAACCAAACATGTTGTCCTCACCAACGGCCGACCAAAATAGTTTAAGCTAGTGTAAACAACACAAGAGCGCTCAAATGTCAAAATGTTCTGAGTACGTATAACCTCAAAAAGGTCAAACTTTACGATAGAGCTGTCAGCTGCCAGATTGCAACACTGGGGTTGCCGAATCCCGAAATATAAGTAAGGCAGCACTCCCAGTCGTGTATACTCGTCCTTCTCGGCATGAGAGGAGCACTTCCTCCATGGTATTAGTTCTTTTTCTAGTTGCTGTGAACCCCTGTAAATTTGCCAAATGACACAATTGAGCCACTGTGCTTACAAGAATTTACAGATCTTCTCAGATCTGAACTAGCTCCGCCAAGTGCCTTACCAAGCTGAACTGCGCCGCATATTCCATGCTCGTCGTATAGGCGCAGCTAGGCCTACCATTGCACCGTCCTCATTCACTCTACCTCCTCTTTACCGTCCCATAAAAGGCTCATCTCTGAGAAGGCGCGATCGTAGGTCCAGCCCCGCTCTTACGGCAAATTGGAAGTGTCCGTAAGTACGGATTGAACAGAGCAGGATGCTAACGCATTGGGGGAGCGGGGAGGGGGGACCACGCGGGTCGCGGCGAACGATGACTTGTGTGCTCTCTGCTCCCGAGGTAGTGTTAGAAACAGTCCATAGATTCGTCCCGTCATACTAGGAGGGTTAAGTCTATTGGTGAGGTGAGTTGTCATGTGATTTCATTGTGAGGAAACCGCTTAGATTCAGTTGCTGCGATTTAATAGGGAGCTATTGGAGTAGATTCTCCTTCACTGCAGAGTGTTTAGTAGTGTCACTTTTACACAAACGAGGGGGCTCCCCTAGGCCGGAATTCCCTCCTTTGTAGGCTTGAGCAACAATCTTCCAGCTACAATTGTCTCTTCGCACTTTTCAGCGTATACTGTTTTACCTTCTGGATATAGCACCTAGGGCGGTGTTATATTAATGTCATAAGATGGCAATTACTTCTATTTCGCCGAGGAGGAGCAGAAGAGCAGATGAGTCATGGCTCGCCGCGAGGTCACCCCCCCCGAATAAGTTAGCACCCAGAGCAGTTCTTATTTTGCACAAGTATCCATTTGAAAAAAGAGACCTTTTTAATAGCTTAGGTTTCAGATCACTCAGAGTGGAAATCGATACTTTTCTCCTTTTGCTCACTTATTTCTGCTCATGCTTATTTCTTCTTGTTATTACTTTGCTCAATTCAGAGTGGTACAGGCTCAATATTGGCACGATCCTTTACATGAGGACGAATACAAGAACAAAAGCATCTTCCTCGGGGATATAAACAATGAGCAGGTGGGTGAGAGCTCAAAGATGTGCTGCACTCGCACGTGACAAGCATACGTGCCATATGCGGGAGATGGGCCTGCCTGCAGATGTGAAAAAGCACCACTTCAATGACCCAGAGGTGCGCGGAAATGAAGCAGAAGGGTTGCAATAGCTGAGTGCTGACAATGAGTCTGACTCTACTCGATATCCAAAACGCATGTGCGTCAATACCGAGGTCCACAGAGAACAACGTGATCGGCAAGCTGTTAATGCGGCAAAGTGTAGGAAAGAACCAATCATGAGATGGCTCAGGCGAGTAGCGTGTGTGATTATAGTTACAAGGACAACTAGTCGTACGGTATGTGTGGAGTCTGAAAAGGTTATCAGACTATCACTACGCTTCAGACTTCATTTCGGCGCCTTTCAAGCGACGAAAGGGGCACAATTCCACAGTTGCGAGCCCGTTTCGTGCATGACAAGGGTCAAGACCCCCGGAGTTGAGCGTGCAGCATATCTTCGATATTAATGAACAAAGTGGAGAAAACTTTGGAAGGGTTGCAGTGTCAATCAGTATCTTTAGATTCCCTTCGAACTCATGATGAGTGGAGATATTTTCTGCTAAGAATGCTTTAGATATCGCAGCACTTGGCGCTTAGGGGAACAGCGAACCCCTCGGGATCAGAAGCATGTCGCACGACGATAGTATGGG